TTGCGTTTCAGCAAACAATGTCATTTTATTGTGGGGGGGGGGGGTTACTTGGGTTATATTGACTGAATCAAATTATTGTGGGGGTCATAACCCCCCCAACCCCCCTGCAAATTACGCCTATGATGTGTGAGTGACCTGATGAAAGTAAAACCACGCAAGGAGGTCTGCTGCTAGTTTTGGGTTTATGGTTTACTCATGAACCCTCGTGATGATAAATATAATGTATTTTTTATATCACAGCTGTATTTTTCAAATCAACATATCAGTCATCAAAAGTCAAAAATGTATTCTATCATGAGCATGTCTATTTTTGCCTGAAAATGCTTAGTGACACCTAGTGGCAAAACACTGACAGTGCAGTCAGTCTGAAATATAATGTTTCACTAAACAAAATGGCAATCAGAGCACTGTATTAATTATTATTCACTGTTTAATATGGGTTGGGGTTAGAGCACCTAGCTGCCTATAACATGTCAGAGACAAGCTACATCTTCATGTGCAAGGCATTGTGGGAAGAAGCTCCACCCCTGCAGTCATTATATGGTGTTTATGCACCAGGTGGGTGGTTTTAAACAATGTGGTCATTTTTGCACAAAAGTGTGAGGCTGAACTTGTGCTTGTAGGTGTACAGATTTGGGCTGGGGTTTTGTTAAACGGCTGAAATTCACTTGTTCTTTAACAGAGATTGTGCTAACATTGGGCAGCACCCGTGGCTCAGGTGGTAGAGCTGTTGCCTCTGAGCAAGAAGGTTGCTGGATTGAACCCTGATCCGGGGACATTTCTGGGTAGGTTTTGTTATATTCTCTCCATATTTGTGTACTCTGGCTTCCTCCCACAGACCAAAAATATGAGTATTAGACTAATTGGCAACTCTAAATTGTCCCTGTACAAATGTGGTCCTGTGATGGACTTGTGACTGCCCAGGGTGTACCCTGCCTCTCACACAGTGACTGCAGGATATGGGTACCAGTGACCCTGAAAAGAAGAAGCAGATAATGGATGGATGTCCTAAAATCAGATTGAGGAATATTGTTTAAAATGTTTAAATTGAAGTCTACTGTGTCTGTTAGAAAATTATCACCTGAACCACTGAATGGATTTCAATGAAACGTTCAGTAAATAATCACTGGCTGATCCTCTGCAGCTCATTGACTTTTGGAGTAAAACCAGAGTTGTACAGTAACAACGTACAAATACTTTGTTACTGTACTTGAGTAGAATTTTGGGTATCTGTACTTTACTTGAGTAATTGTTTTTCAGCCTATACTTTTACTTCTACTTCTTACATTTTCACATAATTACTTGTACTTTCTACTCCTTACATTTTTTTAAAAAGGCAAAAATAGAAAGTCATTATTTTTATTTCATTTTTGCTTGTTTTCATTCCAGCTTGTTATTGTAAAAATAAATACTAGCCTAACCATATAAATTGTGCCTCCTAGATAGAGTGAATTTAARTGTGGTTGAATGAGAAGTATAAATAAATAAAACTCTGATACCGTATTAGTTTGTACACAAACAAATCATGTCACACTCCAGCAGGACATAACCATTAAAATTGAAGGACTGTACTTAAGAAGTATTTGTATTTCATGAATTATATTATTGCATTTGGCCGCAGCCCTCAGATAGATTTTTATTTTGTTGAAAATGTTTGTGCAGCCTTGATATCTGTACATAAACTGAAACAGCTGGACTAGTGCATCCTAAATTTAACATCAATTGATTATTTTAATAAGACATAGATTTTCTGTAATAACATTTGTTAGGAGGTGAGCGCCCACAAAAAATGCATAAATGACTAATTGCTCATTTTAAATCAATACCTTTACTTTTAATACTTAAGTACAAAAAATATCAGATACTTTGATACTTTTACTTAAGTAATATTCCTAAAGGAGACTTTAACTTTTACCAAAGTATTTTTGGTAAAATACTTGTACTTTTACTCTAGTAATATTCCTAAAGGAGACTTTAACTTTTACCAAAGTAATTTTTGGTAAGATACTTGTACTTTTACCCAAGTATCACTTTGTGGTACTTTATACAACACTGAGTAAAACCAGTTAAAGGTGGCTGCGACAGTTAGTTGACATTAAACAACACAAGCACAGGTTATAACTCGTTCAGATATTGAGCTAAAATTGAATGTGGTAGTAGTTGAGAGTCATTAATAACTCTAACTCTGAGTGCTCCACATAACTCACAACACTGCATGAGAAAACATGCTACATGTTCAAAGTTTAACAGAAACAACTACAGCTGCCATTTCTCTGCATCTTTATTTAACTCTTATCAAGTTTTGGTTATGGCTGTTTTCAATGGCACTGTAACTGGCTGCAGTATTGTTATAACTGAACAGACTAGACTAGAATAGTACAGAAATGGATTCTCTTGGCACTGAATATTTCACTCGACTTTACTTCAGACAAGATGGACATCCAAAACTGATCAACCCTCTGAGAAAATGCAGGAACTTCTGTGGGATGAAGCAAAGGAAGAAGAACAAAGAGGATTCAGAGATGAAAAAAGGCAGAGAGTGCACACGTCGTGAGAAAAACCCTTCAAAGAGAATCCTCTCAATTGAACAAGCTGAAAAATCCCGTCCAGCTTGGCAGAAGACATGAGCCTTCAGGATAGAAAACCAAGCTGCTTAAAAATGAATTTAGTTTTCAGTACTGGAATCATAGACATGAAGAGGAAAGACTTTGCTCAAGAAAAAATAAATATTACCACAATGTGCAAACAAAGAAAGCACTTTGAAGCACTGATGGAACAAAATGTGAGGAGAAATGTCTTTAATGTTAGAGAAGATGAAGAGGACAGAATCCTTCAAGAAGGAAAAAATGACAATGATTAAAGAAATCAAGAAAAAGAGAAATATCCAGAAAATCAGCAAAGCTTACCGCATCTTTCGTAGAAGAAAATCACAGAAAAGCGGAGAAAAGTGAAGAAGAAACAAATCTTTAATCCTGAAAAGGATGTCATGGATGAGCAATAAAAGAGATTAGAGACTGACAAACAGAAGATGGAAAGACTCAGAATTAACGCCTCTCCTTTGAGACGAGGAGAAAATACAAACGTTCATTTAACTTCAACAACTAAAAGAACGACAGAAGAGAGAGGCTTTTAGATGAATAGGGTGACATGAGTGAAGACGAGGAGAGCTTCAGAATCAAACAGGAGATGTTAGCATGCTCTTATGTTCAGGAGAACCTGAAGATCTGGAAGCTGAGAACAGATCTGCAGCTGCAGAAACAGAACAGAAAGAAGAAAAAGGTCAAATAAATAGTGTGTGAGGAGCAAAGCATGGCAAACAGACAAATGTTAAGCAGAAATAAAAGAGCTAAATATTTATAAGAAAATACAAATATGCAGAGTGCATGCAGTTTAGTTTGGACCTGTAGAGATAAACTGGACCAAGAGATAGACATGACCAGGACAAGACAACAACCTCACATCACTCAAACAAGTGATAGCTTGATATTCTCCATTAAATAACAATTAACTGAATGACTGGTTTGGTCGGAAACCAAATGGAAGTGGGTGAAGTTAAATAAAAAAAGAAATAATAACAATAATAAAATAAATAAATTAGTATTTAAGTTGTCCAAGCTGGAGAGAAACACATTACTTTAACCTTACTTAGCTTGTAAGTTTGATTCAAAGTAAAAAAAAGTAAAAAATCTGGGGAAATGAACACATTTGAACAACTTTTTTTGAGGTTCAGTTTTGGCTTTGACTGGATATTTATGTTTGAACATTTAAAGTTTTGTATTTACTGAATAATTATCGCGTAATATATCTTGAAAAAAAATACACATTTGTTGTTTAAAACTAAGTTTTAGATATATAGGATGCAATCACCACCTAGGTTCCAGACAGCAGAAAAATAACAAGTTCTTTTAATTTGTATATATTTTTTGTAGTTCTCGTGCTTTTGTTCTGAAGAGCTTAAAACGGAAGTTGTCTTTTTGTTATCCCTCCGCGGAAGTTGTTCGGTCTGCAGGTGGGAAGTAAAACATTCCTCGAAGAGGGGACTTCTTGTCTCTGCTCAGTGAGTTAGTATTTATTTAAAATGACAATAATAAAAAGGATAAATACTTTAGCTTCTGTGGTTAATGTTTAATTCACAGTTGTATTGTTTTACGCTGTAATATAACAAACTGACTAGCTACCAGTGCTATGTTTACAGCCGCTGTTTGACGCTGCTGTCAGGGAACTTTTGCTTGTAGGGAACTCGTATTTTAGCTGAGACATTTTGCACCTTTGTGTCGGACTGATTTTTGTTACAAATAAACTATAGATAAAATAAGATTAGCGGTTTGCTAACACGAGACATTATTAGGTTTAAATCTATAAAATGTGTGTTTACCACCTTATTTTAATTATTGTTGCCTCTAATAGCTTACTTTTATGTGCTGTGACCTTGTTTCGTCTTATCAAGGGGGTAACCTTGTCTTTTTATTTTGTGCTCCCTCAGATTGCTGGCTGATTAAGGAGAGCAGTGAGACCATGTGGAAGTCACATGATGGACGAGGATGAGGCATAAACAAGAGGGCAGATTGACTGGAGAGCCTCCTCAACACACACTGTGCCACCAGGAGGGAAGGGGGGGATTTCCTGCTTGTACAAAGGTCCCACACAAGCATACCCCTGTGACCTCCCCCCGTTCCTTCTCCCTCAGCATCTGTTAAGATGAACAGCACTACTACTCAACCCCCTCCCTTTATTGATGGGAGTAAGACAGTCGGCTATGTGCTGGTGCCGTTCATGCTCATAACTTTTGCAGGAATCGTTGCAGCCGTGGTAAGTGACTGTCTGACAAAAGGTGGCCTGTTGACAAAGTCGTGGCTCTCGTGTTATCGCCTTTCATGCTTGCATTTTAGACTCTAATCACATCACTGTAATCTCATCTTGTGAACTATCTGTTTTGATGACGTTGTGTGCCGTCTCATGTGATGTCTCATGTTGTCTCTTAGTGCTTGAAGTATGTGTCGAGGATGACACTCGGCTACCAAAACATTGAGTTTTATCTCCGAATCTGTAAATTTGATTGGGTTTTAATTACTGGTGTCCCGATACCAGCATTTGTACAAATACTTGTACAAAATGTCCCGAAACAGATGCCAAATACCAGTATCAATACTCCACTGAATATGTTACAGTTTACATTTTAAGTGAAACATGTTGCAACAATATGTGTTATAATATATATTTGACTAGATCCAGTCAGAGGGGCTGTAGGCCTATAAGGAGAGCCGCCTTGTTCTAAATTAAAAAAGTGTTTTTAAAGTCTTTATGTAATGTTTAAGTTCTAACTCAATAAGTACTTGATATTGGCAAGTGCCCAAATTGAAGCACTCAAACTTGTACTCAGTTTGAGAAGAACTGGTATCGGGACACCCCTAGTTCTAATACGTGTGTTTGCTAATGTCCATTAGATTGGATTGAATCCAAAAGTAAATCAGTTGTGCATCAAACGATTAATTAAAATCTGTCCCGTGGTTTGAAATATTTTGTTAAAGGTCCTGTCACACTATGACGTTTAAAACAACCTATGAAATGTTTTTTTCACTAAATGACTAATAAAAGTTAGCTATTTGATCAGTTTGTTAGCATTACAGCATGTATATGCCTAAAAGAAGCTTCCAGTTGATTTTTTTAAATTCCATCTTCAACGTCGATGTCTCCAAACTTTTCATAAGTTGGCATGTGTTGTCTAAAACATCATAGTGTGACAGGGCCTTAACACTTCAGAAACACAGACAGAGACACAAACAAAATCTGCTGCAGGTCTAAGATCGTCTTAAGCCTTGTTCACACGGCAAGTTTTTAAATTTGACGTCTGATTTTCAAAACTTGAGACCCCCTCACACGAGGATAAAAAAAATCTGATGAAACAGCTTTTGGTCCTACAGTGTGTGGTGTACAGCCACACACTGACAACACACCACACGCGGACAGATTTCACTCACAAACATTCAGATGTCAGACGGGAAATCTCACAAGATCAAACGTGAGTTCAGAGTAAACAAGACGACAAGGAAGAAGCAGTGTTGATAGTTTGTGGACTATTTTTAACAGGAGAAACAAAAAGATCTTCTTTGTCCACCAAACTGTCTGGTGTACCGTGGCAGTTGTTTAGTTATTTGTTATATGTTATAGGTGTTTTAACACACAGCAGGAATATCTCATAAATTATCTTTAGAGCCATCATGATCATCAGACTGTCCTTGTTTTAAAACATAAAACACAGCTTTGCTAACAGGTTTTTCTTTTTTGTTCCAGGTCATGTACATTCGCAGGAAAAGGAGGTGAGATTACTTCAAACGTCTCAGTGCAGCTTCAGCTGACTCTTTGTGTGGTTCTTTAGTGTGTTTTTTTTAAAACGAGTGATGTGTTTGCTGTTGCTGCTCAGGATTGATAGACTTCGTCATCAGCTGTTACCGGTTTACTCATACGATCCTTCAGAGGAGCTGAATGAGGCCGAGCAGGAAATGCTGTGGAGGGAGGAGGACACGAGGGTAAGACGCACCGATCTTTGGTTTTCTCAAATGCACATGGGGAAGGTTTGGATTCTGAAATCAGACGATTGACAGGGTTTTTGTACCTCAGGCTAGAGTTGGTACATCTGTCAACATCACGTTCAAATCTTTATTTACACAGCAGATCGAGCCAGATACGTTTTTTCCCCTCTAAGGATGGCGTAAAAACCCAAACCATATCCTTTTTTTACTTGCATTTAATGACTTTGTTTGTCATGATTTGCAACTTTAAGCTTTGTGGTGCAATAGTTCCTCAATTTGTTAAACTCTTCCTCTTCACGTTTAGTTTTGTTGCAGCAAAAAGTTGAAAAATTACATAGTAATGATGCAACACATATTTTACGTACATTGGGCCTCATGCAAGAACATGTTTGTATTCTTATCCTAAATTTCTCTTACTTTTGTTCGTACAAAGGGTTCGTACGAACATGTCACGTCAGATTCAACAAACTCTTCTATCTTCAGGAAAAGTGTGTAAATGAGCTGCATAAATTCCACCTGTTCTATCCAGCTGCTCGTGCACGCGAGAGGAGATTATTATAATTACCGCCCCAAAAACACCATATAAGGCTATGTTTCCTGCCTCAGATACAAGGAAGTGTTCATTCATGAAAAATGACAGCAAAAACTAAAAAGAAAAACTTTACAAGTTCAGAGATTGAAGTCCGTCTGTCAGAGATCCAGAAAAGAAAGTCTATCATTTTTAGCAGCTCAGCTGTGGAATAAAAAGAGCTGCTAAAAGTATAAACAACTGTGTTAAATCATTTTCATTTATTCAGAAGACACAGTGCTGCGCACCATAACCCCCCCCGGCGCGGGCTGCGCGGTTGCAGGTGGTCTCAGATGCGGGTTTGAAATAAGCATTTTAAATTTTTTTCAAAATAAGTCTGGCACTTTGGAGAAAACCCAGGACTCACTGGAGGGATTATGTATCCCCTCTGGTCTGGGAACGTCTCAGAGTCCCCCAGGACGAGCTGGAAGGTGTCACTGGGGAGAGCGGGGTCTTTCTGCTGCTGCCCCCGCACCCGATAGCGGGTAAGCCGGCCGGACAATTTATATTGTTAGTCTAAATTATTACATTTAAAATTATAACTCTAATTCAAGCAGAAAAGCCTATTGTCAACATAATTATGGAGTGTGATTTATTTTCATCTCAAAATATCTTCAAACTAACGAAATATAAAGTTATTAGGGAGGAAAACCCGTCTGGATAACAGCAGACTGACTGCTCGTAAAATATACGACAGGTCTGGACCACTCGTGAATTTTGTTCGTATCTGAAAAAAATCTTAGAATATGAAAACATTGGTGAATGCCACAAATTCTCCTAAACCACTCGTACGCACAACTTAAGAACAAATCTGTGCGTACGAACGGTTCTTGCATGAGGCCCAATGTCCAAATTCCCTCTCTGTTCTTCCCACTTGGCAGCCAGAAGCTGGGCCTGGTATCACTTTGGAGGTCAAATATTTTAGATATCTTCTTTCAATACAGGTTTGCTGAAAATAATGGCAAATAGATCAAACAAAAAGGTTTCGAAGTATTTCTGGTGGGACTGATTTTCAAGTTATTTCTGCTCTCAAAGCTATATGACCAAAAATCATCAAATTCTTTTCTTACCCTTCTGGCTTTATGCTTAAATTTCATATAGGTAAAACTGTTGAAGTTAAAAAAAAAGAAAAAAAGCATACTTCAGCATTTACATTCACAAGTTGACATTTATTGTTTTCCAAAAATAAATAGCTTATAAATTATTTCTTCTTTTGGCTGTTGCGTTATCAGGGGTCATCACAGCAAGTCACCCCCATGTCTTCTAACTGCATCTATTTCTCCTCTCTTGTACCTGGCAGCTGTGTCTCTAACGTCTTTCTACCAATAAACCCACTGTCCCTCATCTGGACATGTCCAAACTGTCTCAGTCTGGTCTCTAACTTTATCTCCCAGGTGTTCAACCTGGTCTGCACCTCTGATGATCTCATTCCTAATCCTCTGTATCCTAAGGAGAACCTGAACATCTTCAACTCTGGCACTTCCTGTTCAGGCTCCTGTCTTTTTGTCTCCAAACAGTACAACTTAGGCCGGCGTCACACTACAAGAGAATCATGACGTTTTTTGTTCTTCCGACAATCTTAAGGAAGTCCAGATTATTGTGATGGCTCTAAAGATAATCATAGCAGATATTCCCGCTGTGGGTGATGAGTTAAGTGTGATCTAGTCGGCTCGGAAGGACGTCGGGACCGCTCCGACCTCAAATCGGGGATATTCAACATGTTTGATTTTTTGGCCCGATATCACAGTGTGTGTAGTGTTCAACCGAGCTCTCAGCCTGTGAATGAGATGTGTAGCCAATCAGAAAGCCAGGTGACGTAAACAAAAACTGTCATGACTCACCAGGAAGTCCACTGAATGTTACAAGTCCTATGGAATTGTTTTTCCTCTGGTAAAAATAGTCCACAAACGATCAACATTGTTTCTTCCTTGTTGATTTACTCTGAACTCGCGTCTCTCTGGAGGTCGCGTGGGAGTTTTCCTCCGACATCTGAATTCTCGCGAGATTTCAGGAAGTCTCGCATGATTTAATATCTGACATCTAAATCATGAATGAAATATCTTTTCGTGTGTGGTGTGTTGTCTCTTGCCGTGTGGCTGTACACCACACACTGTAGGACCAAACCTGGTAGATCCAGGATTTTTGATCCTCACGTGTGGGCTCTATCAGTCTTTGAAAATCGGCCGACTGTTTTAAAATCTTGTAGTGTGACTCAGCCTTTAGCTGATCTCACTGCTCTCCTGTAAAACTTTCTTTTGACCTTCGCTGCCACTCTTTTGTCACAAATCACTCCTGGAACTTTTCTCCCTCCACTCTACCTTGCCTGTGCTCTCTTCTTCACCTCTTCACTACTTTCTGTTTTCCTGGACAGTCGACCCTAAGTACTTGAAGTCCTGCTCTTTTGGGACTTCTGCTTCATGTATCCTCACTGGTCCACCTTCTTCCCATATAACACATAAATACAGTAGCTTATTTGTGTTTGGTATTGTATTTCATAAACATTGTAATTAGTGTTACATGTATTTCTTTCAATACATAGTTACTCACTAATTTATGATATTTCTTAAATTGTCTTAATTCAAACATCATGCACAGAAGTCAGAGTAACACTAGGTGGCGATGTTGTCCAAAGTTACTTTTTAAGAAACTGCAATGAAACAAACTGCTTTAAATTTGTCTTAAATGAGTACTTTTGCCAAACATACTAAACACTTGGCTTCTTCTTTATATCTGGCTATATAGTTAGTTTTGATAATGATTACAGTGTTCTTGTGATTATTTTGTAAACTGTTAGATATCAGAGTGAATTCCTGTGCTGCATTCAGTTAGGAAGTGAATGAAATTTATTTCTAGTATTTTCCAGGTCTGAATAAGTGGGAACAAGAAACTGAAGGATGGAAATATTTGTGTTTCTAGACTAAAATTCATTTTCTATTATGCAAGTTAGAAATTTAAAAAAGGGATTTCATATTTTATAAAAAATAAAATACATTTATTTCACAAAGTGGGAAACACTTGGCAAAGCAAAATACCGTTAAGTTCATTGCATAAGTGTGCACATATTTGGCACATTTTGTGAGTGAAATGATTGTTTATTATTATTATTATTATTATTTTGCTAATTCTGGGAAAGGTAGCATTTGATGATAACGATAAAAGTTTCTTAAAGATTTTTGGACAGCCCACATTGGGAGTTTTTTTTAAATATTTTTATTTAATGTAATTTCAGCCAGAGTGAAAAATCTTGAAATGCCACCCATGTGTTTTTATATAGACATCGAAAACACAACATATTGCAAACAATAGCATAGCCCCACCTCTAATTTAACCCACAGCCTCACAGTGTAACTTGTGTTACCTTTCATACCCAGTGTGTGAGCTTTACGGCTGTGTTCCACACCTTGCTTTCTGTTTCAGGTGTAATTTGGTGGCAGCGGTACAGTGCCACATAGAGGCCTGGCATGGCTAGTTTAGCAGTGTGAGTCGTTTTATTGTTTACATGTGGTTTCAGACATTTCTAGATGGTGTTTATGAGAGTATAATTAATATAAGCAACACAAAAATGTTTCTGTGTGGACAAGAGCCTAAACCTAGTTGTTGTTTTTTTTAAATATTAGATTATGGTATATTTAATTTACAGGGTGAGTCAAAAGTCACAGTACACCCTTTTATTTGAAAAAGAAAAGGAAAAATTACATAGCCGAATGCCCCAGCAAGTGTTTGGTGAGGGGGCCTATCTTTGGAAAAACTTACTCTTGATCCAATATGGCCTCCATGTTCTGGACATAGCCTAAAGGATATTACTTGATGGGGTATTCAGTGATGTCATTTTCCATTTTCTTTCTTAAAGGTTTCCATGATTACTTGTAACATTAGACGTTATTTGATAAACATTTACTTCAACTGTAAAATAAAGCCTGAAAAAAATAATGTGGGCTGCTTAGTTTTCATATGTTTTTAAAATATTGTTGATTTATTAATGCAGCAAATAAAGCTAGATAAATGATGACATTCACTAGGGTTTCCGGTGCGAGTCTGTGTGAGCTCTTATCCACCCTGAAAGTTAATCTTGGACAGTATCTGATGATCAGAAACCTGAGTGCCTCGACAGAGAGGAGAAGGTAGAAATGACTCAGCCTGTAACTGAAAATACAGATGGAGGACAACAGAGCTGCTTCATGGAAGAAGAACCTCAGTTTAGCCTGTTAGCTTTAGCTGCTGATGGTGGTCAGAAGGTCTGGTGGTGCCGATGCGTAGCAGCCCCAGTCAGTGTCGGTGTGCTCCCAGGGCAGCTGTGGCTACAATGTAGCTCACCACCATCACTGTGTCAATGAGTGCATGTCTGTATTGTGCAGCGCTTTGGAGTCCGACTGGACTTAATAAAGCACTATATAAGTTCAGTCCATTTGAGTTTTACATGATATGCTGTATTTTGCATTATATTTTGAATTACTAACACCGACTGAGGGTTTCTTCCTGTTTGTTTTTACTTGTTTTACCCAGGAAGTCAAGCTATTTTATTGTTTTTCAGTTTTATTTCCTTTAGTATTTTTTCTGTATTGGGCATTATACAATTCAATTCAATTCAAAAATACTTTATTGATCCCAAAGGGAAATCAGATACTCTAATTGCACAGACTGACTGAGGTAAAGTTGTGTTATTTGTATGTGCTTCACTAAGCTTGTGAAGCTATTGATTTATTTAAGATTGCTGTAGGCTACTGGAGCACAGTGAACAAATACATTTGTAGTTCATTACATTCATGTCCATGTGTTTAAAAAATAAGGAAAATGTTTACGTCAACTGAGCACTGTTTTTGGATATGTGATCTGTATCGACATACACTCTATGTATTTGTATCGGAAGTATAAAAAAGTGGATTGGCACCTCCCAACTAAAAATAGACATCACAACCTGAAAATCTTCTAGAACATTCGGCAGTATGTTAATGTGTAAATGTTTCTGTAGTGATTTCACATAACCCTGGCTGTGTGACACATCGTCACTGGAAACTGGTGACTGTGTTGAACTAAACTGTGTTTCTTGTCTTTAGATCGTACAGGGCTGGGCAAGAAGTTTCCAACAGCGACGCCCTCTTCTAACCAAAGACATTGACGCATGATGGCACTAAAACCCTGGCAAAGAAAAAGAAAACATTGCAGAAAGAAGACAACCGTTACTGATACAGATTAGTCATATTTTAACTAAAATTTATGACTTTATTTTTCTTTTTTTTTTGCTCCCGTTGATGTTACCAGTGGCAGTGAGCCTGTCTTGTCCCTGTGCTACACACAGATTAAACAATCATTTCTAAAGTTCTGAAGCTAATCCTGCTTGCTGAAGAAGAGCAGAACCATAGACTTATTTATTTGAAGGTTATTTATTCAAAAATGTATTTTTTATTGTGGTATTTGACATTAACACCTGGAAGGCAAGAAGATATGAGCTGTTGTTTACATTCTTGATGTTGTTGTGGGCAACGTGCGGCGGGCAGCTCAGTTCCTGTGGTTTGCAGTAGGCACTCGCATTGATTATAACTCGGCGCGTGCTTCCAGTGCGGTAATGTTGTGCACTAGTTAAAAATCAGCTCTCGTGCCTGGATTATGCACAGGTTTGCTTGCAGAGTGTTTGAAAAGCATTTAAATAACAATTAAGCGATAAAGTGAGAATTAGCTGCCAGGATCTGATAGGTTTATTTATTTCAGTTTCATTCTGAGTCAAAAAAAAAAAAAAAAAAAAACTTGAACAGATGCTCTTTCCTTTTAGGTTGCGTGCAAGTTTAAAATGAACTGCACATTTTTGTTTTCGTTTGTGGTTTTGCCAAATCCTGTGACTCTTAACAATGGCATGAAATAAAAAAAGGAGTAAATATCAACTTCCCCCGAACTCTTAAATGAGTTGTGACTCGAGCCCGAAATATGTTGTCTTCAAGGCATGACACCAGTAAAATTACTTCTGACTGAAAGAAATCTGTTCAAGTCAATGCCATAGGTCTGACTGTGTCGAGCTCTCAGGTAATTTTTATTTTATTTTATTTTAATCAGAAACTCCATTTGCCTCGCAGTCGTTGAATGTAAACATGAACTGTTTAACTTTCTGTATTTTAGAGCATTTGTCTATATTTCATGATCATTTCTGCACATGAAGCAAACTCTTTCCTATATTCCTACAAATTGAATCCAGTTTAGAAAGCTTAGAAATTTGATGCACAGTTTAAGCTTTACAAATGTTTGACTGGAATGTTTTTGAAGGCTCCAGTTTTTGGTAGCACTTGAAGTCAATAAACTACTGATGTGTGTATTATCAGAACTGTTAATTACATGTGAAATGCACTGTCATTGCTTTAGATTTGGTTATGCTGTTGCTTGAAACAATGAAGAAAATAAAGAAAAACAATTTGTCTTTGCAATTATTCAAAAAGTAAAGACTTAAATGTGTGCATCTGTCTCAAATATCTTATAAACCACTTATGAAACTTTCATGAACTAGTTCTTGGATCTGATTAACTTTTGGAGCCAACTGGCAAGATGGCCACCACAGACAACTAGCCTAAACAAACACTCAAATGGCTTCAACCTTAGTGAGTTTTAATGATCTTAATCTTGGTGTGTTTTTAGCTTGACGACCCCCATTCACAAAAACTTTAAACTTTTGCCATTAACTGTTAGCAAAATAGCTCATGAACCCACTGGATTGATTTAAGTGAAACTTTCAGGATGTGTGTTAAAATGACATTAGCATCATTGCTAATATAGGCTAATGATCAAAGTAATAAACTTTCATCGAAGTCCAACCCCTGCCTCACTGCAGAGGCATGTCTGAGCGAGAGGCTTTTATACACGAACACGGCTTTGAAAATGCAATGGATTAACAATTGGAGCCAACTCGGTTCTATTAACACCTCACAGCAAACCAAATTTAAACACGATTGGTTTTAATTCAATCTGTTTTACAAAAGAGGGAAAATTTGGTGTAAAAGTGGAGCGCCCACTCCCAGTGCTACTTTTAAAACTTGTCTAAAAACACATTTTTTCTCCTTGGCTTTTGGCACAGCCTGATACTTGTTTTTAGTTTTATTCCTATTTTAACTTTTTTTATTGGTTTTAGTATTTTTAATCTTTGTTTTGTGTTTTTCATGTTTTGATTTTATATATATATGTACAACACTTTTTTGCAGCTATGGTTGTTTTAAAGTGCTTTATGAATAAAGTAGTATAGTAGTAGTACTTGCAATCTTTGCTTAAAACCTTCGGCACTGCCAATCCTGTTTGAGAGAGCATCTCATAAAGCACTGGAAAGACATCCAAAACTGAGTCCTTTTTAAGTTGGCTGCTAGAGCTAAATGTCCAAATATATAAACAGCCATAGCCGTCACTTTTACAGCTAGAGATAAATGTGTTGTAGTAGCTGAAAAGCTTTCACAGTTGCATGACGCATTTGGACAAGAACAATTAACTCCAGCTCTCAGTACAAGAGGATGAAATAGAACAGGCTACAGGAATTACTTCAAGGAATGCTAAGATGTTCCAACATCCATTTTCTTGGTCAGGTTGGTGCTGATATCCAGCTGCCATTATACAAGAGGCACAGGTTCATCGTAGAAACAACTAGACAACCATTCATTCTCACTCACACTTAGGAGCAACATATACCATTTAAGCCAATATTCAGTTTGTGGTCTGGAGAAAAACCACTCAAAGGCCAGGAGGTCAACCTGCGCACTTCTTGCCACGAGGTGACAGCATTTAACACTGCACCGCCCCACCAATAGTTAGTTATAAACTTTATTCATTTCATAAAACAAAAGTCTATGTACAATAAAAAAAAGAAAATACAAATAAAATGAAAGGTGGCGAAGAGAAGAAAAAAAATCTTATATCTGCCCCTTTTTTCTCAAATATAGATTCAAACTATAAGTATCTTCAGTTAAACAAAATGTTGAAACTTTCTAGAAAAACAGTGTCTTCATATTAAACAATTTCATATATTTTTTTAACAGTCCAGTCTTTATCATTCTCGTAAATATGCATATTGATGTGGCACTTTTAACATTGTCTTCTAAATTATTCCAGTCTCACTCCTTGAGGTGCATCGTTCTTTCAAACATGTCCTAAATTTAGGTTTTATGAACATCTCTGTTCCCTTAAGATCATAACTGCTTTTTCTCTCTTTGTAAAAATTATCTGAACATTTAAAGGTAATGCATTTCGTTGTGCTTTATATATAACAAACTATTATATCAGTCAAATCATAGAATTTCATTAATTTCAGTTTACACAATATATTAGTGGGATAATTTTTTTCAAGTGAAGACTCTTATAGCCCTTTTCTGCAAAACAAAAACAGGATGTGTCTTACATGCTTTTCCCCATACCTCAACACAATAGACCAAGTGTGGAACAATAAATGTATTATATAACATATACAGAGTTTTATCAATGAACAAGTCCCTTACTTTGTAAAGCAATGCAAAAGATTTTGCTAGTTTTATTCTTAAATAATTTGAGGTTTGTCAGTTTCTTGTCAATAACACCCAAAACCCTCACTGACTCTACACCAACAACTCTGAATGGAATAGAGCAATAGCTCCAACGCACAAAAAGAATTCAAGTGAGAATATGACAAAAGACAAAGAAAAGTTCTTTTTATTGACCATTTCTGATACAAATTGTAGGGCACCATAGAAATATAGACATTGTACATTTATATAGATGTACATTAAAAAGAAATGATCCCATCTTATCGAGCTTACAGTATACAAATCAAATGATGTTCTGAAGTTGTCGGGTCAGTGGAAGAGGTTGAATAAGACGTGAAATGACCTGGATGATAAAAGAACGGCTGTGTGACGATGAGAAACGCACAACGGCCAAACAGAACAGTGAAGAGAGCGCAGGGTCTACATAAAAGCACATTTGTCCATGAAAAAAAATTTAAAACCAAAACTTTTCAGTGCACCAGATCGAAAAAAAAAAAAAGCGGAAAAAGAAAAAAACAAAAACAAAACACACTTGCTAATCTACCACAGTCCGTGAACACGGTTGTCACGCTGACAGGTCTCCCTGACTTACTTCACACATCTTAAAAACAACCTGTCTGCAAGCTCCGGCTGTGAACGAGCAAAGACATTTATGCACACATTTTACACTGAACACCTTAGATATGTGTTACAGTCAACTAATAAAAAAAAAAATACAAACCTTTATGCCAGATGTGGCGATAAAAAACATAAAACCAGTTTAATGCAATTGCATGGTAAAAATCACCTGTTCAAGCGAGGTATGAAAGGTCAGGCTTTTGTCCTGCCTGTTTGCAGTTTCCGGGTTTTGTAACTGAGGTTGTAGCAGCTTCCGTATATGGAGAAAATAACAAAAACAACTAAATAAAAACAGTTAAGTGGACTGAACATGGGTTTCCTGACAATGAAAACCTTTTAGTTTCATCGTCGTAGATGGCGTGACAAACCTAGGATAACATTACTGGTACTGAGGACAAAAATTAAAGGAAAAAAAATGCGCTAGGGAAAGCATTGAAAGCTAGATGGAATGAAAAATGTACAGCCCTGTTGGATAGTAGTGCCACCAACTATCCACTATTACAATCAAACTCATTGTTTGACCAATTGCAGTTAGTTTTGTGAATGATTGAGCGAGCGCTTAAGTGAAGACGCCAGTTTAACAGTATTTGTAAAAGCTCCCTGAAGAAACGACACTGATTACTTTCAGCCTAAAATTCTGCCAACGCTATCTTTAAAAAACAAAGATTCTAACATAAAAAGAAACACATGGATTCTGTTTTGTAAAAAAAAAAATGGTATTTAATCCAGAACAAAAAAAACTAAAAAAAAAAACTAAAAAAAATAAAAAAAAAATCCGGACCAGATTATTCTAACAAACTTTACATCTCCCCACTACATGCAAAGGACTGAGAATGTTTGAGAAGCGTTGCTAAAATTTAAACTGTCCAACACGAGAAAAAAAAAAAAAGGGTGGTCAAGACGCTCCAGCTGAAAAAGGAGAGCGGCATGAAACAGACAACTCTACCGTCAGTAACCTATTCTCATACTAAATGCTGGAGCTCTTCTCCATCTATATTACAATGCAAAGGATAGATTAACCACTTCACCCCGCAAAAAATAAAAATCTAACAGCATAAAGGTAAAATTCACCTTTGTCCAGTAAAAAAAAGAAAAGAAGGAGAAGAATGCTCTACTGTGACCGATGCAACAAATACCACTGAACAGAGAAAATGTCCTACAAAGCGTTATTTAGGGTAGGAAAAAAAACTGACATCTAGGCTCCTCGGAGCACACTTTATCCAGTAGAACAAAGAATTTGTGATTACATGACACACAGAAGGACTTAAACTGTCACGTATGTCTCAAAATCTAATGCTCGAGAAAGTCCATCTTTTTCGTTTTAGAAATCCAGTGCTGCTGCATGATATATGAACTGTGTTAAACCCGCCTTTGGCAAAAAAAAGAGGGGCTTTTGTTGTGAACAGTGGTCATGTGGTGGCACTGGTGTTGGAGAAAACAGCCCAGTTCTGATTAACAGTAAGTCAGTATGTTGAGTGAGGTAGCATGTGTTGAATTACTGGTCCTCCTCCTCCTCTTCCTCCTCAGATGATTCTTGGGATGCCTTTTCTTCCTTCTCCTGTCACACAATAGGGAAAATTCATTTTTTAAAAAGTTTTTCCTGCAACTGCCAAAAAATAAAAAAAAGACACACCATCACTGATTAACAACAAAAGCTGCCTGAGATTCGTGCCTCAACGTGCCGTGTGTTTGGCTTTTATTAAACTCGGCTTTGACAAACCGCTGTGGCATGAAGAGCACCCAGGGCAAGGGTGAAGCATCTGTAGTGAAAAGTGATTCATAACTGGTGAGTCACAGTGAGCCATCCTTCGCACACTCACTACTACAAACATGTTCATTCATAAAAACGAGTGGGCCAAGTTAGGCCGGGCAATTTTGGCTCATTTTCTTGTGACTAATGCAATCTAAACTTTTTTTTTTAAAACAGTGGCCTGAACTATTTGTGCACAAGAAAGGAATGTTACTACAAAACCGCTACCTTTTATACATTAAACACAAATTGTTCTGACTCATAAAACATACACGCAAATTTAAAAAAAATTATAACCCCACTGTGAACATTTAGGAAGACAACTGCTCTCAACATCAACAAAATAATTATAATAGCTGATCAGTAAGACTTACTCATCTGAGAGGAAGAAAAAATAAATAAAATTAAAAAATACAGTTCCACTCTGCAGACAGCCACAGCCTTTATAATTTAGTTGGGAAACAAGTGGTTTAGCAAATCAGAGCTCTTATTTCTCAACTCTTACCTCCTTCTTAGGTCTTCCCCTACGTTTCCCCCCTGCAGACGGGGTTCCTGATGTTTTCTGTGAAAAGAAAACAGCACACGGTCAGGACTAGGGATGGGTACCGAATTCGATACTTTTTGATGTAAAGACCGAATTCTGTCAGTACTACAGAGTATCTATTCACGTAACAAACGGTACCATGTTTCGGTACCTAAACGCATCATTGCGACCAGTTTGGCGTTAAGAGTGGTGAGTTTTCCATGCTTGTCCTGAACGCAGCATCACGCAAAAGCGTAATGATGTCAGCAGCCACTGGTTCAGACAGTAAACAGAGGCAGAGCTCAGTCTGAACTTAGCTTGAAAGCCTCGCAGCTCCTGGAGTAAAATTTACCGAACAGACCGCCTCTGAATTATCTGGTGGATTAATTATCTTGTGAACACGACGTTCGCTTGCTCAAAGTAAATTAAGTACCGCCACTTTCTTTATTTCATCCACCATTAAACAGAGACCAGCAGAGGAAAACAACAGAGGCACTTCCTGACAGTCCGAACACGTCTGACCTGAAGGAGCACAAGCAGTCAGCTTGAAGCGCTGGATGCATTTTGGATGCTCAAAACGTAGCTACACCTTTTATTTATTGTAACTCCATCCTCTTATGCTTATTTGATTTAATTTATTTGCCTTCCATGGACCTCCATCACACATTTTTCTAGTGGGGAAATGACATCAATAGAAACATGTGGAGCTGGATTTTAATTTGTGTAATAAGACAGTTTTCACCATAAATAAATAAGTTACACAACTGATGTTACAATACATAGAGTTGGATGTTGTCTTGATATTTGTTAATTCTATATACTGAGAAATATATTAAATAAAAAGAATAAATAAAAGTTTATCATTGAAAAAAACAACACACACAAAGTACCAAAAATTGGTACTGTTGTTACGTACAGATATCGATTCCCAGGTACTGGATATTGGTACCAAATCGATTCAAACGTCAAAGGTACCCATCCCTAGTCAGGTGTGTGTGTGTGTGTGTGGTGGGGGTCTTGTCCTTCGGTTGTGATCTCCATGCAGCCAGGACAGCCCCCCACCCCCCCTTTCAGCACATCAACGGCTGTTATCTATATTTTCACAGACTTGCCTGCAGATGGCAGCCGTACCTCTGCAACAAGACAAGATGGAGAAGGGGGCAATGGGTTCATTGGCTATTATCTGGAAGGCCAACAGGAACTGCACACAGGGCGCTGCAGTTCGCTGGCCACCTGGTCTGAGGCTCAGAGACAGCTGGTGAAACTGAGCGGAGACACAAATCCTCCACGGCTCGTCCCCTACGCTCCCAAAACCTATATCAGCGCATGCATGTGTGGCCTGAACTCCCACCATCGCTCCCTTTCCCATAGATAGCAGCAAAGAGAGCACGCAGAGGGTGTGTGTGTGTTGGGGTGGGGGGGTCCGTTGTTGCTATGGAGACAGGCAGAGAAGAACTAGGGCTGTGTGCTGGTTGGGGGCGGAGGGGCGCTTAGTGTCAGCTTGGAAACAGTCTTGCGGCCTCTGCACCTGCACTGCACAGTGCATGACGAGCTGCAGGAAGCTGGAGGACAGGAAGTACAGGGTGTGCAACCCCCCCCCCCCCCCCCAAAAAAAAAAAAAGTGAGGCAGTAAAATTAACTCTTTTTTTCTCTTCCTCCGTCTTTACAATGGGATACCAGGGCTGGGCTATTTCTGACACCAGGAGGTGGGAGCCACTAAACTGCAGCCAAGAAACACATCACATGTAACAGTTTGACATCCTTAAAGAGGATGAGGTTAGCTGCTGCTGCAACCGGAAAAAAAAAAAAAAAAAATAAATCTGTTTTCAAAAAGGAAGAGCTTGTCACGAAAATGAGTTTGGGTTTGCTTTTGGGATGCACGCTGCAGCAGAAACCACGTTGATATGACTTACCTTGGCCTTGCCGGTTGTTTTGTTTTTGCTGCCCTTTGGTCGTCCTCTGGGTCTCTTTGGAGATGGAGACCCACTTGGATCCTGCCATTCAAAATAAATAAATGATAAATAAATAAACATCATTGTCAAGACTTAACATTAAAACGCTTAGCTATCAACAACTAAAACTGTAATTCTGAAATCAAAACAAAAACTGAGCAGTCCTTAAAAAAAAAAAAAGAAGTACCATGCAGGAGTAAACAGTTAGGGGATTGCCACCACTTCTGAAAGAGTCAGGGTAATTCAGCATGACGCCGCTTTTCTTATTCATGCGTAACGTTTGTTCTGAAGCCGTGACATGGCTCACTTGTCCGCCGTTGCGTTTCCGGCGGGTTGATGGCTGCAGCTCTTAGCAACCGAGCAACTCGGCGGTGAAAGCCAGCAGGCTGAGTGACACCTATGTGATCCGCTCTGTGCTTCCACTCAGCTTGTCATGCATTACACGAGAAGCAGGGCTGGGTTAAAACCAGTTCAGGAGGTGTTGGGTTACCGGTTTGCTTGCTTACAAACTGGTGCGACGTGCAGGAAGTTTACTGTAAGACCACTGCACTGATAAGCCCCCGCCGGTCACGAGGCCATGCTGCAGCCATGCCCGGGGTCTTTGCTTCAATCTGCCCTCAGGACACGGATATGCAAAGTGCACATCACCTGCAACAAGATCTTCCTGAGCATCAGCTGTGACAGCTGGGTTTGTTTATCTGCTCACATGCAGGCCTCGTGCACAATTCATTTTCAGTTGAGCAATGCCAACAACATGCAAAGTCAAAAATAAACTATGTAGAAGTAAATGGCCACTACTTACGTCAGAGGTTTTTACCTGGGCCTGCTTACGGGGTCTTCCACGCCCTCTCTTCTCTGTCGCCTCCTTCTCTTTTGGTGAGACTGTCCCCTTTTTATCGCTCATGTTCGCTTAGCTTTTCCCAACCTATGGAATAAATAAGAGGAAAAATAATTACACCGGTAGGCCTCGGGAGCAAAGCGAGGCCTCGGGTTCATACAATAAAAAGCAGGGAACATGAAGTACCAGAGCCACTAAACTCATTGACCGCAGCAGCGAGCCCGAAATGACCGACCGAAGCGCGCACCGTTTAACCCAATTAATCCGCGCTGATTTCCAGATCTATTTCTGTCTCATCCGCCGCTCTGCTAACGCGAAGGGGTTTGCATCGAAACTGATCGCGGGATAATGCAATGTGTTCGTGGACCGGGACACGCACACACAAACATGCAAAATAAATAAATTAATAAAAAGACCACCCTGTATCAAATAGGCCCAGCTGTGCCCAAACGATCAAGCAACGAAGCACAGCGTGTGTGCGCGCCGCGGAGAGATCCACACACACACACAATGGCTGCTGTGTCGGCTCGTTTGCATTTGCGGGCTAAAACGGCTAAAAGCCAAGGCCGAACAGAATCTAGCTGATTTACTGTCAATATCACAGAGGATACAAGCGACTGTGAATTAGAGGAAAGCCCAGGCCGAGGCAACAAAAGACGGTTTCACGGGGAGAGCATGCGCCCTCCTTTTTTTCCCTCTCCCGCCGGAGCTTCGGCTCTTTTGTAAATCGCTTCTATCATTAGCATGTTAAAGCTAAATAGCTCGATTTGCTTGGCCTTTCTCACACTCACCTTTGTCACTGCTTTATCGCCTCCGTCCTAAATTGGAGCGGATTCGGTTCCTTTAAAGCCTGGCTGCTTCGCTTTGGACCCGGTTAAAAAGCCGATCTACAGGCTACAGCTTTTATTCGTCAGACAGAAACACACAGCCCGCCCATTTAAAAACCCGAGCTCCTGCACCTTTAATAACAAATGAAAAAAAAATTAAAACACCCTGGACTACTTTTTTTTGCCCCTCCTATTTTGATTTTTAAATAATAGTAATAATATATATATTTTACCAGCAGGATGAGAAGTTTAATAGAGTCCAATACAGAGCACGTGCGTCTTGTCTCGTGCAGATAAAGGAAAAAAAGGCGCCGGACAGGAGGAGTTTTGAACGATTTAAAGCGCCGCCCTCAGGGGAGCTTGGAACACAGGGGGGCGGGGATATGATAAACAGGGCCACCAACAGTACGAGAGGAGCCCAACCCCCCAAACACACACACTCACACACTCATCCCACTCCTCAGCTCCTGAATTCTTTACATTTTCCAGGTTTGATCACAAAACACTAAACAGATGTGTCGGGGCAGCAGAGTGATATTAGAGTAGAAGGAAAATGAATGAGGAAAAAAAGAATTACTAGATTAAATGGTATGTGTTTTTAGGAGAGAATGCATATGTTGAACAACATTCCTCAGTCTCCACTGTAATGGTGGCTGAACTATGACCTCCCCCATTGTAAACCCAAGTAGACACACATTCTGCTGCTTTAACTCTGGTGCAAAAAAGCAACAGGACAATCCAACATCCTTACCTCCCTCTGTCCAAATAACTGCATGAAAATACCTCATGTAAAACATTGCTTTTGTGCAAAGTGCATTTGAGGCATTAAAAAGATATTGAAACGACTTGACAAAATGAAGTGTACGTGTTACCGCTAAAATGTAAAGCTGCACAAACAAAACTACACTTGGGTGGACGTTTATCAAAACTAACAAATTTTAGACATACACAGCACTTTTCATACAGCAAAATGTAACAAAAAGTGATTTTCCCAAAACGAACGCATAAAAAGGGAAGAGACACACAAGTAAAATAATATAAACACATATAAATTCATTTAAATCAATGATGAATTGTAAAGGCTTTAACATCAGGGGACTGAAGGAACTGATGAAATACAATGCTATTAAAGAGGAAATCAATTAAAATTTGAGCATAACACTGATCCTTTAAAAGAGATTTATACATAATGATAGTTGTAATACTCACCCTTTAAAATGTGTTATATACGCATTTTAAAGGGTAGGTGTTATGCAAACTTGTTTCTTTTTAACTTTATATTATGTTATGTATTTCCCTCAGCAAAAAAATATCCAGAGTGCTGCTTTGACTCGTCCATAAATTTAAACAATAATATTGGTTAGTTTAAAATTTTTATTTTTATACTTAATTTAATTTACTGCCCCCGCGACCCGAACCCGGATAAGCAGAAGAAAACAGATGGACGAACTTAATTTAATATAAATGTAGATTTCCAGTCATTTGTAAAATTAAAGTTTATGTTTCTATGCAACAATATAAATTTAAAAGGTAAAAAATGATAGTACTTGTTTAATAGGCCCCCGAGCTGTTTGCTTTGAGTAATCGCAGCCCTCGGAGCGATTTAGTTGAATATCCCTACCGTACAACCCCTGGCGGAAAGTATGGAATCACCAGTCTTGGATGAGCACTCATTCAGACATTTCATTCTGTAAAACAAACTCAGATCAAAAACATGATACAATAATAAGGTCATTCCAAAGTGCAACTTGTTGGCTTTCAGGAACACTCAAAGAAATGAAGAGAAAACATTGTGGGAGTCATTGAATGTTACTTTTATAGACCAAGCACAGGGAAAAAAAATATGGAATCACTCAATTCTGAGGAAAAAAGTATGGAATCATGAATAACAAACCAACAAAAGACCATTCAAAATACATCACTAGTATTTAGTTGCACCACCTTTGGCTTTTATAATTGATTGCAGTCTCTGAGGCATGGACTTGATGAGTGACAAACAGTATTCTTCATCAATTTGGTGCCAACTCTCTTTGATAGCAGTTGTCAGATCAGCTTTGCAGGTCGGAGCCTTCTTGTGGACCATTTTTCATTTCAATTTCTACCACAGGTTTTCAATTGGATTGAAATCTGGACTATTTGCAGGCCATGACATCGACTGAATGTGTCCTTCTCCAAGGAATGCCTTCACTGTTTTTGCTCAATGGCACGATGCATTGTCATCTTGGAAAATTATTTCATCACCTCCAAACATCTGTTCAACTGAAGGGATGAGAAAACTGTCCAAAATGTCAATGTAAACTTGTCAATGATAGAAGAATGAACCACAGTCATCTCCTCAGTGCCTTTGCCTGACATGCAGCCCCATATCATCGAGGACTGTGGAAATTTGGTTGTTTTCTTCAGGCAGTCGTCTTCATAAATCTCACTGGAACGGCACCAAACAAATCACCTTGTCCAATGCAGATTCTTGACTCATCACTGAAGATAACTTTCATCCAGTCATCCACAGTCCATGATTTCCTCTCCTTAGCCCATTGTAGTCTTGTTCATTTTTGCTTAGGTGTCAATGATGGTTTTCTTTTAGATTTCCTGATTGAAATCCCATGTCCTTTAGGCGATTTCTTACGGTTCAGTCATATACATTGGCTCCAGCTTCCTCCCATTTATGCTTCATCTGTTTAGTTGTACTTTTTCAGTTTTCAAGACAAATGGCCTTAAGTTGTTTGTCTTGACGCTTTGATGTCTTTCTTGGTCTATCAGTACGCTTGGCTTTAACAACCATTCCATGCTGTTTGTATTTGGTGGACATCTTGGATACAGCTGACTGTAAACAGCCCACATCTTTAGCAACCATGCGTGAAGAGTTACCTTCTTCAAGAAGTTTCACAATCTTCTCTTTCGTTTCAAGAGACATGTCTCTTGTTGGAGCCACGGTTCTTGCCACTCCACTTTGTCCAGCAGTCCTCCAAGGTGTCATGACTGCAGGTGTTTTTAACTGCAGACTAATGAGCAGATCTAATCTGAGGCAGGTGTCCATTTAGGGAAAGGAAATTGACTGGGTGTGTCCTTATTTTCTACCTCCAATTTGAGTGATTCCATACGTTTTTCCTCAGAATTGAGTGATTCCATATTTTTTTCCTGTGCTTGGTCAATAAAAGTAACATTCACTGATTTCCACAATGTTTTCTCTTCATTTCTTTGAGTGTTCCTGAAAGCCAATAAGTTGCACTTTGGAATGACCTTATTATTGTATCATGTTTTTGATCTGAGTTTGTTTTACAGAATGAAATGTCTGAATGAGTGCTCATCCAAGACTGGTGATTCCATACTTTTTGCCAGGGGTTGTAGAATGAAATAAGAGGATAGACAGAAGGGTGATGCTGTTTCTGCATTCTACTACACTGTTTTACTTGTTGGGGCATCATATCAGATTTTTCTCATCGATTATTCACCCTTTTTGAAATCAAACTAATGCAGGGAACCCCTTTTCATTATGATGAAACCAACTTTGTCTTTGGAAAATTTATTACAAAAATAAAACAATCAAACTTCATTGAATAATGAATAAAAAATAGTAATATTTAATAATTTACAACACAAAAGTAAAAAAGTGATTACTGTGTACTTTTACTTCATTCTACTTTTGCTGTTTAGTCATGTTGTACCCAGGCTTTCATGGAAGGAGGCACCTCTATGGGTCTCTTTGTACCCACCTTTACAGACAATGAATTAAAGTATTATTATAATCTGCTTATCTGGTTAGAATTTGGTTAAGATAAGGATTAGGACCACTGGGAAAGCGTAACAAATAAAATAATTTTAGACTAAAGATGAAGAGGGTTGAGAAAGTTTTAGAAAATATCATGTTTTGAGATCACATTGGGGCAGAAATTTGGATTTAGAGTTACGGTTACTGCGAAAAGGAATGGATAAAGAGATATGCCAACGTACATACACTGATATAATGTGGTCACTTATCTCACCTCAATGGACCAGTAGAGACACAAAATTGCAAAACACTTTTCACTTGTGGTTTGACCTTATCATGGAATCCTGCAAAAGTTTCAGAAAAAATTCTCTTGAAGCTCGTGCATACTGACAAAAAAAGTCTACTGTAGCAATGTAAATTTACAGAAAACAAAACTGAAAAGGGTTGGAGAGAATATGTTTAAATCAAGAACCTGTGACTGATGCCAAAAAAAAAAAAAAAAAAAAAAAAAAAACAAACAAACTAATCTCTAAGAACATTTTGAGACATTTTTGAAACTGATTAGCGTCAATGGTGTTTGCAATTTGTTGCAGCGCAGTGAGATAGGTCTACTATTTGGATGTAAAAAGTGAAACAATACAGAATTCACAAGAGCTGCACATAGATAGGACATGAAAAATGACAAAATTCTAGGGATGCCATCTCAGCAGTACGGTTGTGTTTTTACGGTATCAAAAAAAAGTGTGTTTGTGCGTATCTACATTTAAATAATTTGTGGGTTTGTGTAATATCAGTAAATATCAGTTCATCTGCCTTAACAGCAATATTAATATCGGATATTGATATTGGCTGAAATTTTCATATTGGTGCATCCTTATAATATTCTGTTTAAAGAGGTTATAGATTCTGGTAGTTTGATGGAATGGTTTTGACCAACTTTAGTTATTTATATTTGGAAACATATTGTCTGTGTTCTCTTTTATTTCTGTTCATTTTGACCTGAACTGCTTTTTACATAAATCCGTGGCATGAAAAAAGCTGAAAGGGACTCAGACTAGTCTGATTTTCATTCACAAGTAAAGCAAAATCTGGATGAATCAACTTTTAGAAAAACAGAAAAGAAGAACTGTGAACAACCACTTTTCCATGAACTGGCCTTAGGTAAATAAACAAGTCTGTGTCATCTAACATCATATAGCAACATTTCATGTGCTTGTAATTCAGCAGTAAGTCACAGACAAAAAACAAAACAAAAATAAAAAATAAAAGAAACAAACCTCAAGAAGGAAACAACTGTCCAAGGAGAAAAATCCAAAGAGGTCTTTTTTTTCTTTTTTCCATCATTGATTTTAAATTATGAGTATATTTGGGACATTGTATCATATTTGGGAAGACGTAGCTCACTCTTGTCAGTTTGCTGTGCCCTGGCTCAGAACAAAAACAGCTGGTGAGTCAGTTTTTGTGAGCTCAGTAGCCATTTGCACAAGTTGTTGTTGATGCAAATCAGTCTTACAGAGAAACAAAATCGTGTCATGGGAGTGAAAACACTTGTGCATGCTTACCTTTCTTTAGTAATTTTTTTCACCTTTACCTTGAAGATATAA